ACGTCCCCAGTTTGAGTCCAGTCGATGACCTTTACTGTATGTCCTTCCCCCTCTTTCCCTACCCATACCATCCCTCCTGCTGTTTCCTGCTGCTGTCGACTGTCCAATAGATGAAAAACACCATAAATAGAATATTTTAAAGGCTCAAAACAGTTAAAAAACTGAACAGATTTCCCATAAGGTGACATATTTAATCTGCTTGTTTTGTCCAAAACCCAAAGATATTCTGTCCAATGTCACAGAAGACTAAGAAAACCAACAACTATTCACATTTGTAAGGCTCTCTTTAATAAAACAAAAAAAAAATCGACTATCACTGCAGATTGGTTTTATGTCCACCAACTAATCATTTAAAAAATCGAGACAAAAAAAAAAACAGGAGCAAATCATCATATTTGAGGAGCTGGAACTATGAAGTTTTTGCCATTTTTGTTTGAAAAAAACAAACAAAAAAACAATCAATATCATATTATATATAATCCAGCACTTGTGAGGACGGCAAAATAATATTAACACTTTCCAACACAATATAACACGCAATAACAATAAGATGAATCAACACCTCTCTGACATGGTGCCAGCAAAAACTAAACATGACAAATGTTTATTGCAAGGCTGTTGAACTGGATTGGATGACAAAAGACTGTTTACACACTCTGTACATATTCTATTTGCTTTGCTGCCTTTTGGTAGAACTCCCACAAGTAAAATGTAAATAAGAAACAGCCAACGTGTGAAAATGGAGAGTCTACGGTACTACTGTCCTACCTTTTCCACTGCCAATTACAATAAAGTCTCACACAACATTGCACAGTTGCCAGAAAAAAAACAAAATGACAACAAAATTGTGGGTTGTTGAGAGGAAGTTTGAAAAAAAAAAAAAAAAAAAAAAAAAAAAAAAAAAACCATATGTCATTATAATGAATTCATATCAGGGAATCTTGAATGAGAAAACTTCTTCCTCCACAGATTCTCATGTGCTGTAGGCTATGATATAATCCGTCACTGATTTGAGAAACAATAGACAGTCCTGGTTGTTATATAAGGTACATCCGTGCTTTGTGTTCAGAGAGGACAAGTAACCACTCAAATGAGCTGTACTACTGGAACCACTTCACTGTTAGGGAATCAACAGCAGGATTTCAGGACAACTGAATGCTGCAATTTCATCTTTCATCAAGTTTTATAGTGTTTGTTTCACTCTTCTCTTGAGATGTTGCATAACAGAGGAGGTGCTGACTGCTAATAACAGAGGCAGTGCAGGCAACATTGTGTGTGTTAACAATTGTATATGGCAGGCGTCTGTGTAATGGTCTCTCTTTGTACACACACCCATCTAGTCCAGCAGTTCTGACACAAGAGCCATAATTGTGTCCAGAACAGATGCAACACACATAGGAGCACATGCTACATACAGGCTTTCAAATGCAGTCGATTTTTGTATGATGGTTGTGTGCGTTTGCGTTCTAATCTTCCCACACAGTCATCATCTGTGAAGATGTGTGCAGATCTGCTGAGAAAGGAGGCAATCAGCGGCTTTCGCTCAGACACCGTGCCCCGTCCTACCCTTTTTTAACAGTTTTCTCAGATCTGCCAGAGCCCGCTGAACAATTAATAATTAACACATCGGCATATAATGGATCGGGGATAAATAATTCAGCCTGCCGATTTGGACTAAAATAGACCCGAGGCTAAGAGGAGTCTGCTACAGTGCAACAGGTTGGGGCAGAGATGTGAGAGAGGGATAAAGGGTGGACTATCAGTACATTAAGAGACAGTGGCTGCAAGCTGATAACGTTAATTTAAGAACATCAGTCAGAGTTACGCATGTATAATAAGGCTGGGAATACAGTAACTGCTGCTCTGCCCAGGGGCCAACACAACACTCACTGACAACATTTGTTCTAGCATTAAAATTCATGTGTGCGTTGTTTTATGGTTACAACTGAGCTGATTTTAAATAACATATCTGTGAACGGAGAAAGAATAATATAGAACAAAGAGTAAAAAGGCCATTCCACTCTCACGTGACCTCACTTTGACTGCCATGTCCAAGTTTTAATTACATATTATTTACAATATAATTAGCATCTTAACAGCACTGCAAACAAGGCAAGACATAATCAAGGTGCTAACCGGTGCTTGAGCTATGACTGATGTCTGGGCCAATGACATTTTAATTAAGGCCACCATAAGAGCAGGGCACATTATGACTAATTTTCCTTACTTCGAGCCTAGAGAGCATAATTTGTTAACTTGGTATGTTAATGGAGTGGCAAATACCAGTGTGCTTGGCTGCAAGAGCAGCAGGGATGGAGATGGAGAGTGAAAACAGAGGGGGGCCAATATGAGAGGACATGACTGTGACTAATACATGACTCAAGTGGGATCTCAAATGAGTCCAGTCTATTGGCAGATGACACTGTCCCTCACTCTCTCTATTTCAAACAATGCCATGATATTTGCAGGTCATGTGGCTCTGCTCTTTCAGACAAGGCCACATGCTCCGAGTGTTTCGGGTTTCCAGGGAAACTGCAGGCCACCTGCGTGCTCAGCTGAACTTTGCAGCCTAGTAAAAGCAGGTCAAACACTCCTCTTGTCTTGTCAATGAGTTACCATGGATTCTCCTCTGCAGGAACAACAGAGTCTCTACCACTATTGCTGCAATTTCAAGCTCTGCCCCTAATAACACTGCATTGGGAATGTCTGGCAATGTGACTGTATTGTCCTATTCTAAAAGACTCACAGAGGGGATCTGCACAGATACAGTTACACTGAAAACTACATAGATGAGGCCCAGAAGCCTCTGCTTAATCCTGCTGGGCAGTTATTGTATATTATTATATTATTTATTGTCTTTCAGAGTCATATTGTGCTGAAACAATTATAAAGCCATTGTGAAGCACAAAGCTATGATTAATGAAGAAAAGCAAATACTCATTAAAACCAGTCATGGATGAAATCTAAAACAAATGGACTTCTATTGTACTATGTTGCACTTTCACTATACTTCCATGCTGCCCAGGGCAATCGACACCACCATTATTTTAGGGCTGTAAATGACAATTATTATTCTTGTTATCAATCATCATAATGATTAACCAATTCACCTTTGATACAATAAATGTTCAGAAAATAGTAAAAATGGCCATCACATGCTCTAGATGGTAACTTAAGATAGTTTAGTTTGTCCAACCAACAGTCCAAAAACTCAAAGATATTCAATTTACTATGCTGACATTCCTTCTTTTTGAAGCAATCAGATGCCAAAAAAGGTTGGGAGCAACTGGGTTAGCCCATAAAATGTCAGAAAAAAATAGTGCAAGCAATGCCCATCACAATTTCCAAGGAGACACCTTCAAATATCTAATTATCAAACCAGCAGTCCAAAATCAAAAGATATGCAATATACAAGGATATACAACAGAGAAAGGCAGCAAACACTCACAACTGAGAATCAGCTAGAGTATATTTTACAATGAATCAATTATCAAATTAGCTGGCAACTAATTCTGCCAATCAACTAACCATTTCAGATCTAGATTATTAAGCCTATATGTATGTTATACTGGTAGATATTCTACTAGACCCACAGTTATTCCGTGATATTCATTTTTGCCTTGTGTCAGCTCTCTGCTTTTCAGCTGGTGCTACCAACAACAAAAGACACAAAGGAAGCCCTGGCAACTAAAACACAGTGGGTTGAAATACGCCAAATTATTTCACCACTGACACTGCTAATGCAAGGAGAGAAGCAACTCCAAGTGCTAATGCAAGGCCATAATTCATTTGACATGTCTGTTGAGGCTATGCATGATAATGTGTGCTACTACCTGCCAGAGCCCAGACTGCACAGTGAAGCTATTCATCCACACTCAAGCCTTGTTCTGGAGAGGAGCTTTACAATGTAAACACAGCAATGTGTTATAAAACATATCACTGTTTGCAAAACATATGTTGTCACCCTTTTCTCTTAGTTTGCAGTGGATTACACTGAAACAACAAGGAGGCTTACTGTGCTTTCAAACAAGCCGGGATAAATCCACCTTCTTTATCTATCCTTATTTTCTTGTTCTCCTACACTTCCTCCATAGTGGAAGCATTGTGCAATCATAATGAATGCAAAACGTAAGCTTCTTTACAAATACTGTCTTTATTGACCACTTAATATGCACAGTCTCTGTGTGGCAAAAAAAAAAATCGTTTTATACAAAAAACAAAACAAAGAACAAAGCATGTCCAAATTTTTCAGTGCAATATCCACCAAATATGAGGAACTTGGTTCAATCCAAACTAAAATTACATTGGTGCAAATGGGTGTACCACCTGACAAGATATCAGGATACTTATCAGTGCCTTACAAGCCTATGTGTTAAATGTGGTCAACCACATGATTTGAAAAACCTAAAACTCAGTTTATGAATGCTCTTTTTATCCTCTCATCACTTTATATGCTAGCTGCTGAACGGTAATCAGTTTCTAATTTAAACAAACTTAATTGTAGGTCACTGAATTCTAATATTTCCAGTGTGTGCTGCATTATGTCAATATCTCATAAATCAGTTTTATTATTAAAATAATCGCCCACTGTAATGGCCCTGTTCACCATACATATTGAAAGCGTGTCTGTTGCCTGTTGCTGCTAGCTTCATCATCATAATGCTATATTTGAATCACGTCCCAACTGATATTTGCTCGAAACAAGACTGACCGTTACTTCCGCTAACTTAGTATTAAAAATACAGCCTGTGAAAGAAAGATAACTGACCTAGCAAACAAGACTGCTTCTTATTAACTTCATTTTGTCTGCTCCATCTTTGAAAAGGCTGTTCCAAATTGACACAGGTTAACTTTAGCGGTCAATTGACTCAGGAGTGATTTGACCACAGGCCTCTAATAAAGAGATGTGGCTGTTGCTGTGGCCGTTATTGTCCGTTGATTAGATGTTTCATTAAAAACTGGTCGAGCGTTAGGTTTAAGCAGCGACAAGGTGGACTCACCTTCCTCTTTCAGCTCAGTGGGACACAAGAGTGGTCAGTCAACAAGATGACAAGTTAATCTGAACAAAATCTCTCAAGTCTTCATCCTGGCAGCGCAGGGAAAAGTCTCTTCACAGCATGTTTTGTTGTTTGTTAGCTTGTTTTGTTGGATCTCCTCGATAAAAAAAAAACCCTTCCTCCTCTCGTAACTCCGTTTTTGTTCTGTAGCGGTGTATCAGGCACAGATGTGTAAATTATTGAAAGAGTGTTTCCTTGTCTCAGCTGCTGTGAGATCGTTTACAAGAGTTTGTTGTAACCCGATTCCACCTCCTTGTAAAAAAAAAAAAAAGTTTCAAACTTGAGGGGACTTGGAAATCAACAGATTGATGGGGGCTTGGGCCAATGAGGGCGCAACAAGGGGGAGGGCACCGGCCCAATCAAGCCAAAAGAAAGGAGCGTTTTACAGCCAGCACATTCCCTGCCCCCATTAGGGTTTCCAGTAATTATCCTTGTCCAGTTCACAGTCCCAAGGCTGAAAATTTCCCAGAGGAAATGGTGTTAAGGGAACAATGAGCAGGAACTGTGGGGAGCAGTTTTTCTGTCATGGCCAAAATGATTTACTGGCTCGTTAAATTACACATCACTGAAATACAATACTGAAATTATTTTTTTTATTTCATAATTTGCATGTGATTTTCTAACAATAATGAGTAATTATATTAATTACTACCTAGGGTAGCAGAGAGAGAGAGAGAGAGAGAGAGAGAGAGAGAGAGAAAGAGAAAGAGAAAGAGAGAGAGAGAGAGAGAGAGAGAGAGATTTTGTCAGCGGATGTTTTCTGGACAGGGGAAGTTTTTCCTCATCTGTCTAATGAGGACACCGGAATTCCCGTGGTCAAAATAACCTTGCAATGCATTGTTATTGAACGCTGAGGTAATGTTATTGTATGGATACTATGCACTACGAGTTTTAGCCCTACATTGTCAGAAACCCACGGTCAGCAACTGTGGTACTACCCCATACTCTTCGTATTGTATATCTAAGTATTAGCTGCAGGTCTCTGTCGTAATAAAACAGACTACTGTAAAACACCTGTAGTGGTGAAATGGATCTGGTGCGTCCTCTAGTGGTATAATATGATGAGCGGGGGAAATAGAGTAGGCTAAGTGTACTGAAGTCTCACTAGTGGGGATACTGAATATGCAAAAAGTGAGTGAGTGAAAAAATTCTGCATGCCTTTATCAAATACATGAACAAATAAAGACTTATAGATTAAAGTATTGTCAAATATTTTAAAACATATACATGTACATACAATTGTTTTTATTTAATTATTTTTTACAATTGTTTTTCATTCATTGTTTTGTCTGACCAACAGTCCAAAATTTCAAAACTATTCAGTTTTTTCAAATGTATCTAAAAGTGAGAGTGATTAATAACCATCAAATGTTGCAGATAGTAGTTGACTAATTATTGTATCGTTAAGTATACCACATCTAGTCTGTGAATAGGTTATCCTGGCCATGCCTTGTAACAAGTCTGACTTGTCAGCCTAGCTGCCTTTCCTTTTAGGATTACAGTTTGGCCATAATAATGTACATCTGCATGTATGAGAATTTGCTATTGGAGGGGTAGAGATTAAACTCGCCATTCCTCAGATAATGCACCGAGCCCAGTAGCCTTCAGTTCACCTTTCATAAAAAGCCTAGCATGGCCCTAAATAGTACATTCATGGTTGATATAAAAACAAAATGGATACATAACAGTGCAGTGGTACCTATATGGAGATATTTTTACGGCAAAACAACACAATGTGGTATATTTTAAATTGTTATACTTTTAACCCATCCCATAATAACCCCCTGACAGAGTGTCTTCATATGCGTCGGCGTTTTTCTTGTTTAACTCCACTTCCCACAATCCTCAGTACCAAGCAGTTAGGTGACGCATTTTTGCTACGTGTCAGGAAGTTGTCTGTAGTCAACATGGCGGCGCAGCAGGGTGATGTTGATGAACTCTTCGATGTGAAAAATGCTTATTACATCGGTAGTTATCAACAGTGTATCAACGAAGCTCAGAAAGTGAAGGTAGGTAACGTGAATTAATAGCTGAATGTTTTTGAAATGTTTCATTTTCCCCATTTTGTGCCTCTTTCGCTCACAGCAGCCAACACTGCGTTTGCGAGCAACAATGCAAAAAAATATATATTTTTACCTAATATATCTTTTAAACTCTGAATTTTGTTGCACCTCGTGTTTTTTCTTTGAAGCCGTCGTCACCAGAGAAGGAGACTGAAAGGGACATGTTTTTGTACAGAGCATACATTGCCCAGGTAAGCCTGAGTGCGATGTTCGCAAGTAGAAAACGTATGTATCACACTGATCTCAGTGTCTTGTCATTAGCCGAGAGTTTGTGTATATTTCACCATCACTAATTAAAAACATGCTCACCCTCACCTGCTGTGTTCTCTGCTATTTCAGAGGAAGTATGCTGTTGTCCTGGATGACATCAAGGCTAATTCTCCGCCTGAGCTTCAAGCTGTCAAGATGTTTGCAGAATATCTGTCCAGTGAAAGCAAAAGGTAAGATCTTGCATTTGACATTTAGTTCAACTTGGAGCTGAACGATATGCCTAAAACATAGGCACTTTGTCAGTATACTGTACAAACAGTAAAACTCTACACATCCATTCATAGTTTTAGCAGAGGAATTATTTTACTCGATATCAAAATTCGACTAAGCACCAGATAACACGTAAATTATTACCTACCCCAGGTAATTAATATTATTACAAATTATAGAATATACTGTATCTCTTAAATGCTCAATATATCACCCAGCAACAGCCTTTATAAGGTTAAATTCAATTTTGTATTAGCTGATTGTCTCAGCTTTTTGTTTAGTTTGGAGTTTAAAGTCTTATTGTCTGGATAATTTCTGCTGCTATTTTCCTTTTTTGTGCAGGGATGCTATTGTTGCTGATCTAGACAAGAAGATGGCTAAGAGTGTGGATGTCGCTAACACCACCTTCCTCCTCATGGCTGGCTCCATCTACTACCATGAGATGAACACCGATGCTGCTCTCAGGACTCTGCACCAAGGAGAAAGCCTGGAGTGGTAAGAAGGGATCAAGAGTTTACTTTAAAAAGTGTCTGCAAATTTTGTTTGCAATCCAAACTGATTTCAAATAAATACATAAAAAATTGAAAAAAAGAAAATAAGACTGTTACCTTGTTCAAGGTACAACCTACTTCTATTGGAATTGCAACAAAGATCACATAGTAAATTTGTGTCATCTTTGTTCCTTGCATTTAGCGGTCATCAAATCACCCAGGTACATGAATATAAAAACTGCATCATCATTGTCAATGCACAATGGTGCATTCAGACTAAACAGGTTGACATTTTCAAAAAAGATTATATAGAAGGTTTCTCCAGCCACAGAACTGCACCATCTTTGTATTTTACCACAAAAGATAAAACACAAAGAATTTTGTAAATTCTAGTTTCAGCTACCACACCTGCTCCACAGAGCTCTCTGATGGATCACTGGATTTTGTGAGGTTGTTTTAATTTTGAAGACAGGAGCATTAAACTGAGCAAACTGACATAATCATTTGTTTGTTTTTCAGCATGGCCATGACCATTCAGGTGTTGCTGAGTCTGGATCGTGTTGACCTGGCAAGGTATGGCTAAGCTCATAAACAGTAGATTAGCATTGCATTGTTAGGTCAGCTTCTTTTATCTGAAGGCTCACTGAAAACATCCTGGTATTTTCTGACTGTGTTAAGCAATTTCATGATGAAAATGGATGTATTCTTCATTGTAAACTAACCGGAAATCTACTGTGTATAAGGTTAAGTCTGAGCCTATATAATCAAAAGAGGGTTTTCTCACACAAAGTTATGTACTTTATTTTTGAATTGGGACTGTGTTTCTCAAATAATGATGGCATTGGTCTCTTTCTCATTTTCAGGAAAGAGCTGAAGAAGATGCAGGAGCAGGATGAGGATGCTACTCTCACACAGCTGGCCACAGCCTGGGTTAATATTGCTGTGGTGAGGAGACAAACATCCATTCATTTGTATAACAGCACCAAAATTTATAATTCATTTATGAATAAATTCTCTATCATTAATTATTTGCACCCCCCCACCCCCATACATAATGGAGTGATCGCATAATGTGTCTGTGTGTATATACCAAGTACATTAAATTCCAATTAATCACATTATCAATATCCATGTTGAACTGTGATTGACTGAAGTTGCAATCAGGTTTGAGATATTTGGCAGGCAGGGGGGTGTGTAGTATTTCTTGGAGTAGTATATGGCTATAGAAAAGTATGACCAGTGTAAGAAGGACTTTGTTCCTTTGAAATTGCTCATGTTATTGCTCAAACTATAGTGCTTACAACTCTGTAGCAGTGGGTAACCCCTACACCATTAAACAGCAAAACAAAAACAATCAAACACCTGGGATTAAGCACTTTTCAGCATGGTCACTGACTAACACTCAGATTATCTCTTCTTGCCTACATTTTATTGCATTCTGCTTGTTGTTGCAGGGTGGAGAAAAGCTGCAGGATGCCTACTACATTTTCCAGGAGATGTCAGACAAGTACTCATCTACACTGCTGCTTCTCAATGGGCAGGCAGCCTGTTACATGGCTCAGAATAAGTGGGAGGAGGCTGAGGGGGTGCTACAGGAGGCACTTGACAAGGTTAGATGACAGTTGAGGCTTTGTTTTTGTCTCTGTTGTTTTGTCTCCTTCTCTCTTAAATATTAACTGACAGTGAACACACTGTGGTGTAAATACATGGGCAGTTTTTTATTCAGTTAACCATCTTGATGGCTTGTTTCAGAGGCTGGTATCACATTCATATCCTTCATGATTAAATGGCTGCTAAACAGGGGACTTGTGCCAGAGGAAATATAGGTACAGGGTTGAACCTCATCACAAGATGCATTAAAATGAGTTTAAAGTAAGGGAATATTAAAGATGGGTTATCATGGAAAACAAAAAATGTCTAGGACTGTGCAATATAACGTAAAATCTCATCTCAATATAGGTCTTTTCATTTCCAGATAACGTCATGATCATCATGATATAGCACGTTTTCTGTAAACTGTGTATCCTGGTTAGAGTCATGTAATAGCATCCAACTCACCAAAACCCCATTTCTCGACAGTGTAAATTGTGGCCATGTCTTTGCTGATGTAAGTTGTAACAGCAGCTATTACATCCTTCCATCTTTATGAATCTTTGCTTTTTGGTGTGCTGCAGGCAAAAGCATCTTGCAGAGTCTAAACCTGTGGTTT